ATGGGAAGGGGAAACAAAGGAGGATGCTACAATGCTTGATAAGAACTATACTCATTATCTTGCCCATGTAATTATAACCCCTCTGTACAGTATTTTCACAATAAAAAAATGAACAAAAAGTAAATACCACTCAATTAAAATCAATTACATACCTCAATTGTTTAATTATCTTGGTCAATATTACTCTCTGAATAATTAATCTGAGATGAATTCTTAAACTCCTCTGAATCAACACAAAAGTTGTCTACTTGATTTCTTTCTGCCTTGCCTGTAACAGGTAGAGAGAGCAATAGAAAGGTTTCAAAGTATTTACAATCTCAGTTATCAACAACTAGGTTTCTAGGCTACTCTGTAGGATGTAGCAATAGCCTCAAGTTTAGGATTTAATAGATATACAAAGCTAGCTGAAAACTAGTGTTTCCCAAAAATACTTCAGTACAGAGCAAGAGCTCTGTTCCTTGTGTGACTTAGTACATGAAAGAAAAATATCTGAATTATTTTCAAACAGAGACAATGACCTTTGAAATAAGCTTGTGTGCATTGCTTTAACCTGTTTTATATGATTTTTAATATGTCTGGATTGTGGTTGGTAGTATAATGTAGGAAAATATATATGGTATTTTATTATGGATATATTTAAAGAATAGAGAGATATGAATTATCATTTCCTCAAAACATTACATTATAATCAAAAGGCTGATATATATAAGAGAGAGATTAACATATCTATACAGATTTATAATTACATATATACATATGTAGTCACATATCCATATAAATATATATTTATGTATCAGCTGGTCTTGGGGCATGAACTCAGGGCCCGAGAACTGTCCTTGAGCTTTTGTACACAAGGCTAGCACTCTGTCACTTGAACCACAGCTCCACTTTCAGCTTTTCTGGTGGTTAATTGGAAATAAGAGCCTGACAGACGTTCATGCTGTCTGGCTTTGAATTGTAATCTTCGGATCTCAGTCTCCTGAGTAGCTAGGATTGCAGGCATGAGCTACTAGCACCCAACTGAAAGCTGATATTTTTGAAGATATTCTGTGTTTTGGTTTGTGGTGGTGGTGGTGGTACATGAGTGTGAACTCAGAATTACTTTATCATTTGACTGGCTTGCTTAGTTTGTATGCTACCAGTTATGCCATACCTCCAGTCTGGCTTTTTGCTTTTTATTTTGGAATTGTGGTTTCATAAACTTTTCTGCTAAGGCAGGCTTTAAAGTGTGATCTTCTAAATTTCAATCTCCCGAGTAGATAGGATTACAGGCACGAGCCAGTGTTGCTTGGCCTGGTGTATTATACTGTTAAGCATGTGGTGTGATTTCTAAGAATGAGAGATATTCTCACATACACTGATGGGCCTATTGAAATGATCTACAAATTTCAGATATTTCCTTTGTTTTTGGACAGAAATACCTATAACTTCAGACTAGGTATTAAATATGTTTTATTCTATGCATAATGAGAGTTAACATCTTTCTTTACGTAACTATAGAAACCTTTCTGTGTTTCTTTCCTCTTGCTTTATCCTTCCATATACTCCTATACACACATGCATGCATACACACACCACAGACACACACACGTGCACACACACACCACATATACACATATAACTATATAAACATGGATAATAAAAGTGTGTATATATATATATATATTACCAAAAGATTATTGAACCATAAAATTGCTACTTGAACATATTTTTGGTAGTTCTATGCAAGTATATTTGGTATAAGTACTTATATATGTTAAGCATTTTTCATCTTTGTTCTTTATTTATATTGAGGAAAATTTTATTTCTTTAAATACCTTACTAATATAATCAAAATTATTATTTTAAAAGAAACCATTTATTCTAATAGGTGAGAAGCAAAATCCCTAACATAATTCACAATTAAAACTACTTCTGTTAAATATTGGCACAACTACAATGGTATTTGTTTTCATTATAAATAAATGTTTGGAGTCACACACCAAGTATTACATACACTGTTGTTATTTAGAGTAATTCTGTTTATGATTTTTAAGTTCTTTTATATATATATATATGTGTGTGTCATTAACATATAATTTTAGTAAACCCTTATTTTGAAGGCTTCCAGGGTACTTTTAGAAGAAAAATGTTTTATAAAATTATCTCAAAATGCCTGTATCATGATATACAAATCCTCAATTTTTTTTCATGTATTTGTTTTGTGCCTATACTGGGGTTTGGATTCTGAACTTCCTCACTTGACATTTTGACTTGAGTCAGACCTCTACTGTTTGGGTGTTTACTGGTCACACTTAGCTTCCTGCAATGTGCTATCTTCTCACCATCTATCTCCTATGGGGATGGAGCTGTCTGCCTGAGTTCAAGAATTCAGTCTCATGCATGGTCTGAGTTAACATATATAGTTAAGGTTCTCCTTAACTATATATATTAAAGATATATATATATATATACACATTATATAATATATATTATCCTTATATAATACATATAAAGATATATATTAAATATATTATATATTATATAATATATATATATCCTTATTTAATACATATAAAGATATATATTACATATATATTATAAGGATAGATACATATCCTTGTATATGTACATTTATATGTATACATAACATCCTTATACATGTATATATGTACATATATGTGAGTATATCGTTTATAATATATATAGAAGGATATACAACATATATAAATTAAGGGTTATCCTTAACTATACATGACAAATAGTCTATGAATAGTAGTTGCTATTCAGTGTAGTTAATAATGCAAAATAGACTTAGATTTCACAAAATACAGAGAGAGTGCTTCCATCTTTGTCATTATTTAAATAACTCTAAATAACTTTTTTCTTTTATAGGCACTGAAATATGTTTCCAACTCAATTTTGGAAACAAGTTTACCTCAAATGAGCTTTAAATAAACTTCCTAGTACACTAGATAGAGGTGAGGGAAAAACAAAGGAGGAGGTAACAATATTCAACAGAAAATGTACTCATTACCCTACTCATGTAACTGTAACCCCTCTGTACATTATTTTTACCATAAAAATATATATGGAAAAAGAACAGAAAGAATCTGTGTTCTGTGTGTTATTCATTTAATATGAAAATGTATATTTTTCTTTTCTTTTTTATTAGTAATGATATCAATAAGATACGTATTTAGAACAGTTCTATAAATTTATTCCTAAATTCTAAAAATAATCCAAATTCCTAAATTTATTTTTAGAGTGTACATATAACCAAGCACGACCTAAAATGGAAATAATGGGATCTGATATGCTGAAATGTCTCAAACCACACTAGACTAGAAATGAATAAATCATGTCATGGGTTAAATCAATTAACATATTTATCATGTATATGTTTTTGAACACTTTTATCCCAATGATAAGATGCTATCTTTTGTAAAAATAATACTGTAGTCAAAAATCAGCAAGCATAATATTTCTGCATCATAAGCTGTTCGTTGCTGTAAGTCATTGATACCTACCTTCTGGCTACTATGGAAAATTGCAAGAGAGTAAAATAACAGTGATTTAACCATTTCTAAATAAGGCCCACCCCTTTGAGCCCACTGCTGGCTCTACCACCTTCTTATATACAGGACTTTTGAGTAGTAGTTTGAGGATATTTAAAATGTTGGGTCGATGAGCAAACTGTCTCAATTATTCCTATTACATTGTATTTGTCTGTTTTGAGAATTTTGAGTGCTACTGTCTGTCATTCTTGACTCAAAGACCTAAACTCATAAAACTGTACCATAATGATAGCATTATAAAACATTAGTGACTTCTTAATACTTTGTTAATTTCAATTTTATCAACGCTCATTACGTGCCCAGGTTGGTTATCTTTTTCTTCACTCATTGAAACATTGTAGCTAAAATGACAATAAACAATAAAAATCATCCAAGACCTCTTAGAACATACATTGGTAGCAACACAGAGACTGTCACTCTTGTTTCTTCTTACATCTAGCTCAAGACACTGTAACCTTACTTAGTAAATACTTCTGACAGAAGTCCTAAACTTCTTTTGTTAATGAAAAAAAAACTTTTCTGATAAATCCAGGACTTAATAAACATAATTAAAAGTTTCTAGCTGGGTGGTTGGTGCCCTTGACCTTAACCATTTGCCCAAATAACATTTATTATACAGAAGTTGACACTCCTAGCTTAGGAGGAAGATAGATAGAATTTGACGCAGGCTACAGGTCTGCTATGTCATAAACTACTGCTGTTTCCTCTGACATGTTGTTTAATGGTTGTGTGACAAAATTTTCTGACCTGAAAATGAGAATAATCTATTTTACAGGTCCACTTTGAAATGCAAGTAAGATAATGCTTTTAAAATATTTGGCTTAGTGACAGACATATATGAGTTCTTTAAGTATTGTCAACAAATTCACACCAGTGCTTGGCTTGAAATGATAATTTGTGCCTGTGTCAGAGCTCTGCTTCCATCACCTTTACACACACGTTCCTAATGCATCATCACTATGAGGAAACAGTGTTTACCCTTATTTAAACAAATGTTATTCTAAAATCTATTCATCTAATATGTAAATGTATCTATTGTATCTGTTATTCCATATAGCAAAAGGTAAGTGAGATTAATAAAAATAGATGTCCTACACAATTTTATTTTTTTTCTTTTACAAACTGTTCATTGTAGCTTTGGAACTTCTAAAATGCCTATTAATTTTCAGTATGACACATTTACTTCTCTAATCAGATTAATAGAGTATAGCATGTTTAACAAATTCAATTCTTGTTGTGAGGGGGGAGGGGAGGAGAATTTGGTGGGTGGGTGGGTGGGAGGCTGGGAAGGGATGTGAAGGGTAAACAAAGGAGGAGGAGGCTGCAATGCTTGATAAGAAATATATGCATTATCCTGCCCATGTAATTGTAACCCCTCTGTACAGTATGTTCACAAAAAATTAAATTAAATTAAAAAAATTCAATTCTTACCTTACCTTACAGATTTATTGGCCTGCTACTAAAGAGCGAGTGGAATTATGCAAATTAGCTGGGAAAGATGCCAATGTAAGTATGAAACTTTAAAATTATCTTTGCTAAAGGGGTGCTAGTATTATTACAAATAATATTAAATATTAATTATTAAAATTATCTTTTCTAAATTGGTGCTAATTTCAAAAACTCCAAGCATTATCATTTTCTTTACATGACATATTAAAACATATTAAAAGATTAAAAAAGAAATCATAAGGAAAAATCACATTTTAAGGGATGCATATCCCTTAAATGCATATTTCATTATTGTGCATGCATTTTGTAAATGTACACAAAACTATCAGTGTTTTAGCATCACAAAGATACAATTGATATTTAATTTGAAGTTAAATTTATAACAACTGAAAGACATTTTCATAGAGATAACAAGTCAAATTGGTTCAGAAAGAATGGTGAATTCTGGCATGAAATCGAGAAATAACTTAGCCTCAATTTTACTTAATAATAATTACATGAAATAATTCAAACTTTCAAATAGATGGTCTTAATATAAACTTGTAGATTAAACCACCCTAAGGACTGTACAAACCGTACAAATACTAAGACTCAGCTATGATTCTTTGGTGCAGTGCTGTCTGGATTATTTTTGCACTTTGCAGGTTGAGCTGTCTATTCTTCAAACACTTTTACCTGTCTTGCATCCACCTATCGCTGAAGAGAGCTGTGGCTCTGTTCCCTGCACTATGTGCTCTGATGCAAGCTGGGCACTCTGTTCTGCCCTGACTTAATGTGCCTTTGGGGGGAACAATTATTCTTTTAAGCAAAATAAATTATAATTTCAATGTAAGTCAAAATGAAAATAGACTCCAACCTTGGCTAGAAACATATATATTTTGAGGTTACTTTTACAACATGTTCTACTGTTACCTTGTATCATATTAGCTCAAAGGTAGTAAGCTGGATGGTGCTTCCATATTTAATAATAACAAATAGTGTGTTTATGTGAAAGCAAAGATTTTAAAATGAATGTAGTATAAGTATGGCAATAAGACAGTAGATGCCTAATGAAATGAAGAGAAGCTCAGAAGAATAGGAATTGGAGACAAGAAGTTAGTTCTTCCTGTTGATCAACCAATAGGTAATCTATCCTGTGGACCTCTCAGTGATTGACAGGACAGAGGCATGAGTCAAATGATCACTTCCCTGTAATAAAGAATTGCAAGCCAAAATAGAAACAATAATAAAAAAAATGAATTTGTGGTGTTATCTTGATTTTGCATTCCATTATTCTCCTACACAGTTATTTTAAATGAAATGTATCAGGAAGTGTTAGTCTCAAATGCAATAGGATACAGATTTACATTAACCTCAGGAGAAAAGAAAATGGTTAGACTCTTTTAGAAAAATATTTTCTCCTCCTCTTGTAATAATTTTATCCTGTTCAATGCTTTCATACCAAGAAGATTCCCAGATCTGAAAAAAGGGTCAATTCTTTATTGAACTGGCAAGTACTTCCAAAGATATTTTATCAAGTAAGTTGAAGAAAGATAGTATAACTTCTACGAATATTTTTTGATATTTTGTACATTACCAGTAATGAACATTTGCTGAAGAAGCCAGTAGAAAAAGGATGTATTGATTTTACTACATATATAGATTAATGCCAGCTTTCCCATGGGTGAGATGCAACACAAGCACTCAAGGTCATATAATGAGTAAAGTTTTACACTATAACCATGCTTTCCTTTCACTCTGTCCACTATTTCCAGTTATACAGTAACTTCTTTGTCCCTCTTATTAAGGCAAAAGGTGATCTCTTTTTCTGCAAATAGGATTCTCCAGCACACAGGCCTCTCTATAGTACATACTTGCCTAATTCAATTTTCTTTCTGTGCTACTAATCACCTCGAGCTTAAGATTTGTAGGGTTAAACCTGGATTGGAGATTTGCAGTGTATTTCCCTTTTTACTAGAGTCTCTCAAATTTGAAGTTTAAAAACTGACAGCAAATGCCTTTGTCTCTGCAGTTTAAACATTTATTATTGTAAAAGATTTATTCTTGATAGTTAACACTTTAATCAGAGTGATCAAATTCAAGGAACTACTTTCACTACCTTCCATTTACAGTCTCATTTAAACTTTTCAAAACACTATATAATGGGTTTTTATTATTGTTCTTTGCCCTGTGGATGAGAAAACATAAGCCAGAAAAATTAAATGACTTGCTCAATATCACCCACCTGGAAAATACTGGAGCCAGAAATTAAATCCAGAAGTCTGGCCACATAGTCTGTGTTTCTACCTAACACTCTTAAATCTACAAATAGGATTTTTAAACTGTCTACCTCTCAAAATATGCCTCCCTTCAATCTCACCATAATGTAGATCATCCTTTTGAACAACATTGCCTAGCAAAATACTGAGATCAATCTGTAGTTTTATTGACTTCTTTTATTATCTTTGGCATTGCCCCCTCTCCTCCCTTCTCTCTAGTAATTTTTACCTACTTCCAAGAGTGTGTTTAGGATTAACAAGTGTTTGGAAAGACTCTCTTTACACAAAGGTACTATATAACAGCAAAAGAGTGAATTATTCACCGTAATAAACTTAGCTAATTGGAGTGGGGAGGTAATGAAAGATGAGGAAACAAAAGGGAACTATTCTACTTTTGAACAGAGTCCCCAGTTTAATCCAAAGAAGAGGTGACATAAGTATTTTGCAGTATTTTGCTTCTGTTCAAGAGAAGGTTATTCAAAAGAAAGCCACTGAGGAAATGTCTTTAGTCCTGACTACGAAACGGGTTGAACAACTCAGTCCAGACAAAAGAAAGCTGAAGGTGAGGTCAGCCTGGCTCCGTTTGTCAGCTTCGCAGTAGACATGCTCAGCCTTGCCAGTAGAGACATTACATAGAGAAAAGGATCTTCCAGCTATAAAATTCTGTGGTTATCTTATTTCTTTGTTTTTACTTTAAACAAAAATCTCAGCTGAAAACAAAGTGTTTGCTGTACAATTTTGCAAATTACATACAAGAAAAAAATTGTAAATACATCCTTTCATATAAACACTACCCAGAAAGAGCTGGTGATACCTGGATGTTTCTTCTTCTGTTTTATCTCATTGCTATTCCTTAAGAATGAAATCAAATTGTGTATGAAATCCTTTAAAATATTTTTCCACTTTTCAGACTGCTGTGAACATTTTCCACATAATTAAATACTTTGAGAACATTAATTTTAATAGCTTTATACATTATTATATCAACTAATGTCAGACACTTTATGTGTACTCAGTTTTTATTATTACAAGTGATGCTGCACAAGAAGGGCCTTATATATAAAAATTGTTAAGATCTCTGATTATCGAGTAGACTTTTTCTAGTTAAGGATGTGAAATTTTTTATGCACATTGCTACTTTGCCCTATAGAAAGTTCATGTCTCCTTTGTTCTAATCAACAGTATGTGATTATGAGAATTTATATTTTCCCTACCTTGCTAATATTTTATACAGCTTAGAACAACTATTTTTGCATACATTTATAACAAATAATTAACTACATAAACTTTTCTAATGAGAGGAAAATTATTTTTTTCCAGTTAGCTTGAAAACCTTTCATCACTACATAAACTAAATATTTTTCACTTGTTACATTGTGCTTTCATGGACATGCCTATAGCTGTTTATTTTTAATTTTAATGTTTTGTCTACCTTATTAATTACTTTCAGAGTTCCTAGACATATGCACATGTAGGTAGACAGAGAAATAGATAGATGGATAGATAGATATAGATAGATATCATATGAATATGTGTTGAGTGTATTATTATATCATATGCTTCTCAGTCATCAATTACTTCATTTGAGATATAGGCTTTTAAATATTTTAATAATAATATCTCTCATTTAAAAAAAATTAACATTTTTGTCAAAGCCGGGTGTTGATGGCTCACTCTTGTAATCCTAGCCATTGTGGAGGCTGAGATCTAAGGACACAGTTCAAAGCCAATCCCGGCAGAAATATCCCTGTGAAACTCTTATTAACCCCTCAAAAACTGTAAGTGGAGCTGTGGCTCAGAGTGGTACAGCATTAGCCTTGAGCCGAAGAGCTCAGTTACAGCACATAGGTTCTGAGTTCAAGTCCAACAACCAAAAAAAAACCAACAACTGATATTTGCACTCTAGACATCTTCACTATTAGAGCTTCAACTTCTTATTTTTTTATATTTTATATTTTACTTTATGACACAGCATCTTAGTAAGAGCCCAGGCTGTCCTTACACTTGAAACTCTCCTCCTATTGTCTCCTAAGTGCTAGGGTCATGGACATGCACCATCATACTGGACTGGATTTTTATGTATTTATTTCAAAGTGGTAGCAATTTAAAAAAATATTTTAAACATTATTAAGTGTAGATTGATACCTTTAAACACTGAGTTCAGTCCGAGAATTTCATTTAATTTCAAGAATGTTTGATGAACACACTGTTCTGCTCAGTGGTACAACACTTGCCAAGCATTGATGCCCTGGATTTCATTCCTATTCCTACTACCAATAAAGACAAACCAAATGAAACAAAAATACATGAAATGCCAGAATTATATATATGACCTCCTATGTTTAACCTAAATAAATTTTAATCAACAATTGTAACATGTAATATTATATTGGATTTAATTGGACTTCATGTAAGTCTTGAGAATTACAAGGATGGCTGGGGTTTTGTTTACTTCCAGATTTCGGGGGATAAATTAAAACTAATGTTTAGTAATAGACTGATTTGTTTTTCTACAGATATTCAGTTTGTATTAGCTTATATATTTATTCATATTTGTATGAGTTCATGTGAGAGGTGAGATTTTTCTCTCTTTCTTTCTCTCTCTCTCTCTCTTTCTCTCCCTCCTTTCTACCTCCTTCTTTTTCCCATGGGAGTATCTGTTTGAGTAGAAAAAGTGACAAGAATAATTGAGAAGAACAAAGAAATGCAGTAGTTTTCCAAATTTAAATGTATTGCCTGCTAGATTGTTTGGTTACATATAATTGCCATTGTGGGCAAGAGCTGACAAATTAGCCAGCTTTCAGGGAAAGTTAAGAAGGCAGCTTCTCAAAGTTATCTTTCTTCACGCCTCAGAGAATTATGCCACCATCAGTAGTAGTGCCAAGTCACTAAGTGAATTAAATCTAGTTAATTATTGAGCATGCTATTCAAGCACAACTTTGTGCAAAAAAAGAGAAAACAATACATAATCCCTGAGATTAAAACAACAACAACAAAATCAGGAATTCAAAGGAAAGTCATTGTAAAGTCCTTTCGGTAAAGGTTTTTTTTGGCTGAAAAGTTGGCTCCAAAAATTTTAAAGTAATAGATCTCATATTTTATCATTTCTGGTACACTGGCTTCATACAGATTTCCTTGCCTGCAGAAAATGTTGACTGAGCTGTTGACTTTTCTTCTTCTTTCTTTCTTTTCTTTTTTTTTTGCTATGAAATTCTACTTGATAATTTAACCTGATCCATGCTTCACTCTACTCCCAGCCAGCCTAGTCAGAGAAAAGGATTTCAGATTTTAACTGTAAATAATGTTTCATCAAGTCTAGGAACTAGCCTGGTAGATTACTGGTTACATTTCTATAAAGTACCCTTAAAATATTTAAGGAAGCCAGAGTATTTCCATGGGATTCAGAACTTTTGGTGCATAAAACTCCACTGTGGGCTTTGTTTACCATTTTAATCTTTGCTTATTCTCACAGTCCCTAACTTGCCTGATTTTACAATTTATCATCTGGAAGAGGATCACTTCATAACAGACCATGAAAAACTGCCCATTAAATTAACTCATTGTTTTTGAACAAACAAACAAACAAAAAACAAAAACACCCTGAGTTTTTGAAAACATGGTGAAGTATCTAAGAGTAACACCTCCCTCATCTCCCATGCCTGCCTTGCTGTTTACTTCTCTCTGTGTATATGGTTCCTTTGTGGATCCCATCCTGATGTAAATCTCAAGATGGAAGGTGGGAGTGAGCAGGAGTGAAGGCTGGAACATAGTTATAAGCTTCCTGTCCCAGCCATGAAGTAAAATTTATCTGGTGAGGGTAGATTTGTTTGCACTTTATTCTGTTGGTTTTTTTCTTTTCATATTATTCTCTTCGTTGTTCAAAACTCTTAGCAAGGCAGGTTTTCTTTCTGAATTAGATTTTTATTTGAAATCACCTTATACAATGTTAAAAAAAATGTGAAGTTGTTTTGGTATAGTGCTTCTGTACAACAAAAATAAAAATTCTTCATTGTCACTTAGATGGAAAATCAACATATTATGGTATGATACAAAGAAAAATGTCTTAGTGATTTTTTTTTTTCCTGTCTGTCGTGGAGCTTGAACTCTGGGCCTGGCTCTGTCCCCTTGTGCTCTTCAGCTCCAGTCAAGGACTCTACCGCTTGAGACACAGCACCACTTCTGGTTTTCTGGTAGTTTATTAGAGATACAAGTCTCATGGACTTTCCTGCCTGGGTTGGCTTTGAACCTGATCCTCAGATCTCAGCCTCCTGAGTAGCCAGGATTACTGGCATGAGCCACTGGCACCTGGCTAATGATCTCTTATAATTTCAGTACTGTGGTTTGAATTTAGGGTTATGCAATTACTTGAGGGACACTCTGCCATCTGTGCCATGCCCCCAGCAATTTTTGCTTTAGTCATTTTTTTTCAAATGTAATCTCAAATTTTAACCTCAGGATTAGCCTCAGACCATAATCTTCCTACCTACACCTTCTTGGTAGCTGAGACCGTAGGTATGTACCGAAATGCTTGGTTTATAGATTAAGATTGTCCTTTTTATACTTTTGGCCCTGGCTAGCCTTGAACTGCAGATCTCCTGTTAGCTGCCTCCTGAGTAGCTGAGGCTACAAGTTTGAGCTACCAATTAGAACAGTGTTATAAGTTAAGACATTGTCACCTTAAATTTTGTACTCAATTCTAAAAATTCTAATAGTTACATAATTTTTATTTTTAATTTTTAAAATATAGTCCTACTGACAGCTCTCACAAGAGCAATCATTATGTTAGAGTCTTGATAATTGGTTAAAATACTATATCTAAGCAGGCAATGTGAAACTAGACTTTTCCTATGACAACTACTTGCTTCATAATAGGTTTCCAACTTCCTTAGTGAACACCTGCTAACTTGTATATAAAATAATTATCTATTATTAAAAGGTTCATCTTGTATTTTCTCAGGGGTTTTGTAGGGTCAAGAATCATGAAACTAAGATTAAATAACTGTCTCCAACAATTTTATGAAGATAATACATTATATGAAACAAAAGAAGCAATGTAACTAAATTAAACAAGTGTATGTAAAATCAATTAATTTCCAAAGATAATGAGGGTATAAATATATGTTTGCAGGAATGTGCAAATACAAAATAAGAACTATAACAGTTTCAACAATTCCAGTTGGTATATAAAGATATTCATGGGAAAAACAAAAGAGACAGAATTAGGAGTAAGCAGTCTGATTCTTAAGTCTCTATAGCATAGAAAAATAAATGGCAATAAGTAGTAAGGCATTATAGTCAAAAAGAATTGGATACAAAACAATGGAAGAGGTGAAATTGATCAAATACATTGTACTCATAAATTGGCATGTTCAATTCAAACTACTATGTACTACAAAAAGAGAATAGGTTACAGATACAGGAATGCAAATCTGTGTTCAGTATTTTGCTCAGTGGTTCAAGGCACTCTAGAGAGATGGTAGTAGAAACATTAGGAGTTTATTGGAAAGGTTCAATTACATTAGGGAATTACAGGTTGTATTCTCTACTTCTCAACTGAAATGTTGGATGTGTCATTCATATTCTGTGTATGTACATTCTCTTTGCCTCTCTCAGAACCATTAGAGATATAGATATTCTAACACATATTTGCTAAAAAGAATTATAATTTCAGGAAACTTTAAAGTCATTCTTTTGAACAACAGTTTCTGTATTTTCTTGCCTTTTGGGGGTAAATCAAGTATTTAAACCTCTATCATAAACCTTTTTCAATTTTTTAATAAAACATGGACTATGAAGAAGAATCTTTGAAATTGTATGCTAATAGTTTTTATTTTTATGCCTAATAGACAGAATGTGCAAATTTCATCCGGGTACTTCAACCATATAACAAGACTCACATTTACGTGTGTGGAACTGGAGCATTTCATCCCATGTGTGGATATATCGATGTTGGAGTCTACAAGGAGGTAATGTGATGTGATGGGATTAAAAAACATCTTATGTAAGCAAATAAATTTTGCTTAATATTAACAACATCAAGAAGACATATTTAAATATAAAATACTGAATATGCAATATAAGATTTATACTTTATTGTATAGATCATCATTTTTATAATAGATTCTTTCCGGCCAGCAACATTTTTTTTTAACTAAAACTTGTTTTAATGAGATAATGAAAATCAGTACTATAAAATGTTCTGGATTTGTTTTCTTTTTTTTTCATTGTGTAATATTTTATTCTTATTGTATCTGAAAATTTTATGATTTATACGCATTCATATGCCAATACTAAAATTGTACAAAGTAAAATGTGTGATGATAGACATTGTCAACTATTTTACATGATTTTTTCATTATTGTTTATCAAGTAACCCTTGGGATTCTAAATTATTTGCACTTCATTGCATTTATTTAATAAGAATCCATTTTTATTCTTCATAAGATATTTTCTGTATGCAACCCTTTCCCAATACTGTAGGTACTATGGAAGACAGAGGAGTCTCATTAGGAGAAGAAATCCTTTTTTCCCTAAGCCTCCTTGAGCTGCTGTGAGGATTTTCACTCTAAGTTACTCTGGCATTTCCTGTATGCTTTTTTTTTTAATTTAATTTTATTTTTTGTGAACATACTGTACAGAGGGGTTACAGTTACATGGGCAGGATAATGCGTACATTTCTTATCATGCATTGCAGCCTCCTCCTTTGTTTACCCTTCACATCCCTTCCCAGTCTCCCCCCTCCTACCTAATCCTCCCCCCTCCTCCCCCCACCAACGTTGTAAAGCTCCTTTCCAACATGACAACTTGTACTCTTCATTGTTGCAACAGGTCCACCTGTATCCTTAAACGACTTGTTTTTCCCCATCTCCTATACTGACATCAAATATAGTGAAAGCAGGGGTTATACTGTGGGGGAGGGACATACAAAGCAACAAAGAAATAATCTTATAAATGCTTTAGAAACAAATGCATGAAAGAAAAAAGCATTAAAATACATATCTAAGGGTTCATTTTCCTAACATCACATTATCTCACCTTTTCTGCTTGACTCATACATATACTAGATATTGCAAATAAGGGAAACCATGGGACCTATGTTTCTTTGGGCCTGGCTTACTTCACTTAATATAATTTTTTCCAAGCCTTTCCATTTCCTAACAAATGTGGCAATGTCATTCTTTCTGATGGAGGCATAGATTTCCATTGTGTATATATACCACATTTTCTTGATCCATTCATCTACTGAGGGGCATCTGGGTTGGTTCCATATCTTAGCTATGGTCAATAATGCTGCAATAAACATAGTTGTGCTGGTAGCTTTAGTGTGGTCTTGTTTGTAAACATTTGGGTAAATGCCCAAAAGTGGGATTGCTGGGTCATAGGGGAGCTCTATGTGAAGTCTTTTGAGGAATCTGGATTTGTTTTCTATGCATGTCTTGCTTTTCCTCTGAGTTTTCCTTATATATAGTTTAGTCTGGTACATTTGGCAGAGATCCAGTTTTCATACAATGTTGCAATGGAATTGTATTTTTCTAAATAATTTCATTTTTCCTATTCATTAAAGTTGACCTTTTATGTATGTTTAGAACCATGGATGTTCAATGAAGAGAATTTGAGTAATTTGTTTTTAAATGTATATGAATAGTCACAGTCACACTGACTTCATTGTATCTATTCAGTCAAATTCACATAGTGGAAGTACAAGGTATAGTGACAAATACCTGTAATGCCATACTCACTAGGCTGAGAAAACTGGAGAGTTCAGAGTTCAGTGACAGATTATAGTGAAACTCTTTGTGTGTGATTTCTAATGTTTACATATTGAGTAGATGAAAAACATTCAGATTTCAGAAATTAAAATGAAAAGACTAAAGTACTCGCTTTGTGTCATAGACAATGTTATGTATTACATAAATCATTTCTTTGGCATTTCACAAATTCTTAATGAAGTTAGAACATTGTATTTCCTGCTATACAGGATAGAAAAAAAAGGAAGTTTTGGTGGAAAAATAATTACATTTTCAAGGGTCACCTAGCTAATAAGTGGTCTGGCAGTGAACTGAACCAAGGCAGAATGTAGCTAGAGTACCTGCCTAAAGAAGCACTAAAGTGCTTCTTTGTATACATTGCTATACTCATGTTTATGTATATACTTCTCATGAATAACCACACATATTTGCAAAATCATTGACTGTGTTTTTGAAAGTGATATGTGGGCTTCTGGGGCGGGTTCCTTTATATTGATTTAACTGATTCATGTAGAAATCAAACCCACAACTGTGGCCTAGCAAATTTTCTTCTTTAACCAGCTTGACCAACCAGCCCAGACTAAACTATTTGAAAATAAAGCAACCTTGGTAGCTAAGTCTCTGAACCACTAGGAGACTTGGCAATTGCATCCATCATTCTTAGCTGCTGGTGTAATATTTTCTTGCCTAGCTTTGATGAAGGGTATATGAGAGTAGCTCCCAGCATAGGGTGTAATTATATGAGATAGCCCCACAGCTAGGGTGTGTTTTCAGGCCTGAGGCTAAAGGGCAAACTCCCAACCTGCTGAGGGAAGCAAATAGTGTTCCACAACTCCTTAAACGTCACACATGCTGAAAGGGAGTTTAGATGGAGCTAATTACTTAGCCAGGGACTGTCAAGAAACCCAGGGGTAGTCAAATTTACAAGTTCTCTGAATGAGAGAATTATGAGTGAATGGGGATATTAAAACTAGCTTTCAAGCTGGTCAGGAGTACGAGTAATTAATTAGATGGCAGTACTGCTTCAAGATTATTAACTGCTTTATGAATCATTACTTTCATGAAATTTCTGGGTTTTTTTCTAGACATTTAGAAACCCTTTCCATTTTGAAATAGGCAAAGGTCTTCCAAAATTGCTGGATAGAGAAAACAATAGTACAAAATAGGTCTGCAGGAAAGTATACTCTATGGTCTGCCATTCTGTTTAGTGAGGCATTGAGAAGAAAGGGAGAATCTAAAATGAATCCGGTGCATTGGAACAAGATGGTATTTACTGAGGTCAGGGAAGTTACAAGTTTGTAGAGGAAATGATGAGTTACTGGTTAGACATGCTATATTTGTGGTACATTCAGTAGGTCATGCCAAGAGAGCAGATGGATATGGAATTTAGGAGAGAGTCGCTGTCAACAACTTCTAATCATGACATGAGCATTCACAGTCAAGGTTGAAATGGCTCAGGTCATTACCTTTCCACTGCCTTATACGTACTGCTTTTCTAAATTTGTGCTTATTCAGCTAAATGATGATGATCATAATAGTAAATACTTTCCAGGGTTATTTTAAATATAAATGTCCTTGCCCCATTTGTTAAGAAATGGAAAGGCTTGGAAAAAATTATATTAAGGGAAGTAAGCTAGGCTCAAAGAAACATAGGTCCCATGGTTTCCCTCATTGGCAATAATTAGTATATGTCTGAGACAAGCAGAAAAGGTCAGATAAGTTGATGTTAGGTGAAATGAAACCCAAGATAAGGACACAAGTGTTTTTTTTTTCTTTCTTGCTATTGTTTCTAATGTATTTATAAGGGACCACATGATATTTTTTGTTGCTTTGTATGTCCCTCTTCCACGGTATAACCCGTTTTCACTGTATTTGATATTGGTATAATTTGTCGAGCAGAAGGGAAAATAACAAATTATTTAAATAGGGATACAGGTTGACCCATTGCAACAATGAGATATACAAGATACAATGTGGAAAAATGAACTTTAGAATTTAGGCTGGGGGGGATGTAGTTGTGGAAATGAGAGGGAGGGGATGGTAGGGGAAAAAACAAAGTAGGAGGCAACAATGCTTGATAAGAAATGTACTTATTACCTTGCTCATGTGATTATAACCCCTCTGTACAATATTTTCACAATAAAATCTTATTTAAAAAATTTAAAAACATAATTGTATATACTCTGTCATAGCAGTATGTCCATTCTGTACTCAATATTCACTTATTATGTAGACCAACAGCAGTATAGAAAGATACAAGCATTTTCAAAAATACGTGTGTCACGATTAATCATTGTTCATTAAATGGGTTACAAGTATATTCTTTCTGTAAGATCTACCCTTTGTGGCTGCAATCTCACAATCTTATCTTTAAATAGAGATGATACTGACAGTAACTTTGTCTCCTAGTAAAAATTGTTTTCTTACTCTTATTCTATTATTCTAAAATACTCATCTTAGTACCTTCTTATTCTTATTTACTTATCTCTGTTTTTGTTTTTGTAACAGTCCTGGGACTTACACTTAGAGATTGAGCATGTTCCAAAACTTTTGTCCTGAAAGCTAGAATTCTACCACTTGAGCCACAGTTCTACTTCTGGCATATTTGTATTCAGTTGGTGATAAGAGTCTAAGAGACATTCCTTCCTGGGCTGGGTTCTAACCTCGATCTTGAGCTCTCAGACTCCCAAGTAGCTAGGATTACAGGCATGAGGAACTGGAGCCTGGTTACTTGTCTTTTTACTCCTGTAGCAGCATTAATTTTTACTTTGTGTGTGTGTGTGTATGTGTGTGTGTGTGTGTGTGTGTGTGTGTGTGTGTGTGTAGTGTAGACAAGTGCTTTTTGTGTAGTTAGGCTTAAGGAATTTCTTGGGACAATGTTTATAAAGCAAAATTCTCAAAGCTAAAGACTGTTATGTGGTTCAGTCCTTCCTCTCAGGAAGTGTATTTTGTTTTGTTTATAATTTTTTTTTAATTTGATTTGATTTGATTTGTGAACATACTGTACAGAGGAGTTACAATTACATGGGCAGGATAATGCATACATTTCTTACCAAGCATTGCAGCCTCCTCCTTTGTTTACCCTTCACATCCCTTCCCAGCCTCCCCC